CATATGGCTCTGTGTGGTTTCTCATGCCTCCTATTTCTAGGGATCTGCAACATTAACTTCTTCCTTCGTGACAGTCTTTTCTGTGTCTGTGTGTCTTACCCTACTTGATGAAAACAAGTCCCAGGTACATTTTAAAACAGCAAAGAAGTCACTCATGTCAACAAGCAGTGAAGTTCTCACACATGTAGTACCAAAGTTCAAAGAGGTTTCAGGTCATTAACATCATTTATATGAGCATTAGAAATAGTTCCATAGTAGATCACATGTCAGAAGTAATGACAATAAATTTGTTGGAGAAAGAGTGAATTAGGATGCAGCACCATTTGTCAAGTGGTTGAATCACAATCATAGGTTGCATTCAAATGCAAAATTTGGTAAAATCTCAACAAGAGCTTATTGGCTACATGGAACTTACAACAGAGTATTATATATGCTGTTTTTATTACGATGTATAAATTCTGAGCTATCTATATATAACAAACTATATCTACCTTTCTCATAATAAACTGGTAGATATGTCCACTTATAATAACATATTTGTAAATATATAAAGTAAACATTATAGGTAACAATACATATTTTTTTATAGATTGATTCTTTCTGGAGAACTAGTTACGGAACATTTACTTGCATGCCAGTATGTAAACACCAGTGGAAGTGCTGCAGACATTTCTAGGCATGTTCCCATTCAGCTTGCCAGGTTTCAGCTGCTGGGGCCTCAACAATCTCTGAGGCTACAAATTTCATAATGTCTAGTTGGGATCCAGCTGCTGGTCAGGAGATCAGTGGAGGGTCCAGCAGTTCTAACTGGAGGAGACAGGGCTCCTTGTTTTCCTTTCCAAGAATAGACAGTCCAGGTGAAATGATAAAGGCCTGTGTATATAAAGCTTCTACAACTTAATTTTAAAGATTCTAAGATAAGTTCAATGGAAAGGTCAGGCACAGGATCTATTTCTGCCGGAGTGGCTTTTGCAGGCCTCAAACATTGACTATACACTCAGAGCTCCTTTTAATACTCCTAACCAAAAAGTAATTGCCTCCAGTTTGGGGTGGAGGGTTTGTGATGTGGCTGAAAGTTACAAAAGTGCTCCTGGCCCTGCAATCATTTGCTTTGACTCTGAAGTAAACTCTAATGCAGAAGTGGGTTTAAAGCTCTGAAAGGTCAGAAAATTGAAACCCTGTGACTTGTATCAATCCCTGGGGCTTTTCCTATTCCTTTTCTCAGTGTCCTCAAGTGGCTTCCTTAGCAAGATCTCACATGGCCTTGTGATAACAGCTCCTACTTTTCTAGGATATGCCAACGTAGACTAATTGGGAAGGAAAGCTGGCAAGGAAAGAGTAACTCCTATCAACAATCCACCAAGGAGAAAGCTTGTAATTTCTGTCTCCGAAGGAGGTCACTTCATCAGCTGTCAGAGTGAGCAAGACCAGGGGTGTGAAAAGGATCATCCTGGAATGGAGCAGCTCTGAGATCCTGGCCTAGAAAGGCTGTCTGTGTGTGCTTTCCTCAATGGCAGGATGGAGATAAGATATGTGACACATTTATGTGAAGTTTCCAACCATGAGCCCAGGATCCTCTTTCATGTCCTAGGAAGTGTCTGCTTTTTAATGATCTCTCTAGACATCTGGGGAGCTATTCATAGGGAAAATACCTCTTATCCTCAAATTCTCATGCACCACAGAAGAAGCTGGTGACTTACTTTCCACAATTATTAGATGATAATTTATGTTCTTTTCTGAGTTAGGTAGGAAAAGGTTTCTTAGGGAGAATGGGAGGGCAGTAGATAGAAGATAGATAAATGATAGGTAGATGATAGATGATGATAGATAAAATAGTTAATTTGGTTTTCTTATTTATAATCAGGGTTTTTCTATTAGAAGGATCCAATTTTCTACTTAAAAGGTAAATGGATGTTTATATCTTACATATTCATACTAATAAGGAACACATTTTGCTTTTCCTTTTAATCACAATTATAACTTCTCAAATGTGGGAGAGTCTTCTCAGTTCAATTTCCTAAGTATAGCCATTGGAAGTAAGACAATGTATCTTTTTATCTGCCTATGTTTTCAGCGTATTTCCTGTTGCTATAAGAGTAAAAAGTATAAAAAGCATTTTGTAAATTTTCTACACATACTATAAACTTATTCATCAGGTTCTGAGGATAAGCTTTCAAAGTTCATCACTTGTTTGTTTCTAGAATAATTGAGCTGCAATAAAAGGTACTGCTCAGAATGTACTGGAAACCATTTAAAGACAACTTTGCTATCAAAAATCACAATTATCGGGGTGCCTGGGTGGCTCAGTGGGTTAAAGCCTCTGCCTTCGGCTCAGGTCATGATCCCAGAGTCCTGGGATTGAGCCCCGCATCGGGCTCTCTGCTCAGCGGGAGCCTGCTTCCCCTTCTCTATGCCTGCCTCTCTGCCTACTTGTGATCTCTCTCTGTCAAATGAATAAAAAAAATCCTCTTCAAAAAAAAAAAAATCACAATTACATAGAAATATTAATGCCTCAAAATGTTAGTAATTACTTTTTCAGGAACCATAGTCCAAATCAACCATTTACTGACCTGCCCTGACTTTTTCCCCAAGAAGACATACAAATGATCCACAGGTATATGAATAGAGGGACTCAATATCACTAATCATCAGAGAAATGTAAATCAAAACCACAATGACATATCCAACCTGTTAGAATGACTATTATGCCAAAGACAAGAAATAGTAAGTATTTATAGGGATGTGAAAAAAGTGGAATACTTGTACACTGTTGGTACAACCATCATGGAAAACAGGATGAAGTTCCTCAAAAAATTAAAAGTGAAACTACCTTATAATCTAGCAGTTCCATTTCTGGATATATATGTGAAGGGGAAAAAAAGTGTCTTGAAGAGATAACTGCAATCCCCTAGTCATTGCAGTATTATTCACAATGGTCAAGAAATGGAAACAATCTAAGTATCTGTCAATGGATGAATAGGTATACATACTTCCATATGTGTGTGCTATGGAGAGCACTGAAGTAGCAGCCTGGTTAATTCAGCATGACTTCCCATATCAGTGCTCACAGCAAGAACTCAATTCACCTAGATGTGTAGTGTTCTATTATGTAGGTGGAGTCAAAAAACCACCCTCCAGTGCAGCAGTTGACAGTAGAGCACTGTGGCAACTGTCTGGGTCAGGGCACTTTTCTGTCCCCAAAAGCACTCCGGTACATGCAGCGTTACATCATCACATGGACAATATGATGTTGTAGGATGGCCTTTCCATTGAGTTCAGCTGTGAACATTTTAAATGAAATTCTATAAGCCTTATAAAATATCAATATTTTGATCAATTAATACATTAATTCAGACTATATTATCTATTCCAGAGTCCTTTCTCACTCCCATTTTATTCTTATTTGTTCACCTGAATAATTTATAATATTCTTCTTGTTTTCACTCCTCTGATCTCTAGCTGTGGTAACTGTCTAAACAGGGCTGATTAATAATCAGAGAGCTAATATCATTGACAGATCCAGCTTAGAAACCCCTAACACCCAATCACTGTGCCATTGACTGGAAGATGGGCCCTTTAGTCCCTTTATTTTTTGCAAATTCAGATTGATTTCAGATTTCAGATTGGGGTTCAGATTGAGGCTGGATGCTTGCTTCCTGGACCTGTCTTGAAAGCATAAGCAGTACTATAGTTATATGAGTTACGTTACTAACCTAGCTTCATGTTGTTTTTTGTTATATCCTTACTTATGGCTTATGCTCCTCACAGCCCCATGTATGTTAATCATTATCCCTGCTTTTTCCACTCCCTATTCCTTGTTTGCCCATTGATTATAGTACCTGATAGCGATCAGATGGTAACATCTGTCTTGAAATTATCTGATTCATCCCATCATACCAGATCCTGGATGGCACCTCGCTGTTTGAAAGAATACACACCTTTGGGTTGTTTCAAGGCTTCATGAAACCCATGAGCCTCTTCTCATGTACTCACCTCCTTCCCCAATCACTACATATATGTAACATTCCTAGGTTCAACAGAGCAAGGCAGCTTTGGGAACAAAGATCAAGGTGCATCGTGGGCATGGGCAAGTTTGAATCTGTAACAAGTTTTAGTGGCTGGCCCAGGGCATATAAGCTGTGCTTGCCTGGCTGGCTAGGAGATGACTCCAAGAGAGGAGGGCTAGCCTAGAGCCTGAGGCTGTAGCCTCTTCTGGCTGAATTCTCCCTCTCCCTTGTCTTTAGAATGGGTTCGGCTGTGTAGAATCTTCCCCTTCTAAGGAGATGGTGATAATCCCAGTAAGTGCTAATCGCCCTGAAAAGTGGATCACGAGAGCCCTGGCTAGTAGAGGAAGCTACAGAAAAGGAGGTGGATTGAATGGCTGTCAGACTCAAGTCTTGGATCCCTCCTTCCCACTGTCCCTCCCCTGTCTTGTCTACCTTCTCAATGAAGCATTTTTTAGGCTTTAGCTCCTTGACTGACCCAGAGCACAGCCCATATGGTGCTGTGTCTACCTCCCAAGGATGTAGGGAGTAGTGGGGGAGATGAATAGTGAACAAATGCATGATGTGAAGTGTTGCCACGTCCATGGCACATCTCCGTGCCGGGGGGGTGGGGGTGGAAAATGAAGGGAGACTCGAGGAAGAGTTGTCATCTGGGAGGGGCAGTGTGCTCAGTTCACTCTGAAATCATCAGAGAGAATTTAGGGTTGAATAGGCCCCAGCTCAAGTGTTTACTCATGGTGTCTAAGTCATAGACCTGGAAATAAGGCTTAGGGAAATGAGACAGTCTCTTTCATGAAAATATTTATTAAACAATGAATATATTCATCTAATGCTTCAGTTGATAGGAGATAAAACAAATCTATTACCTACAACACAGAAACTGAGAGGCTGCACAAGTCCCAGCTTTCCCACAGAGGACCAAGCTTGCTCAAGCTGCACTGGGGAGGCCAAGTTTCTGCCAGTGTGGAACTGTGGGGTAGGCCCCCTAGGGTCTAGTCAGCCATCTCTCCCTTCCCTAAGGAGCCTTTGTAAGAGTGAGCACAGAAGAAGGACGAGAACATTCAGCACGCGGTGTGCGTTCTGTCCATTTGAGCGCGCAGCAAGAAACTCTTCCAGGTCTGAAAAAAAAAAAAAAAAATCCAGAGGGTGGGAGAGACACTGTCACATGCTGGTTTTAAGAAACTGAAATAGAGCTGTCTCCACCTGCTCTGATACAGGCCCTATTCTGTCTGAGGTTCCTCACCAGCCTTTGCTGCTGGGGCTCTGCTGCAGAGATAGAGGGTTTTGAGGTCAGGCCTGAGGCAACAGTTGGCTCACCTGGCATAGGAAGGAAGCCCCACTGTAGGAGGCCCAGTTCAAGGAAGAAGGACCTTCCTGGAGCTTTCCTAGTCCTTTCCTTGCAAACAGAAACAAGGGGATTTCCGTGGGACTTAGAGAGCTGAAAGAGAATTTACATTTTTAGAGCTTAACAAACAACTCTTCAGCTCTTCTCATTTAGCCTATGTGCTGACCAAAGGTGATCTTTCAGAGAATTTCACATCAGGTCATTTAGCAATTAGGGGCAAAGAGGTGTGATTTGAAATACAATAAAATAAAATAGCTTGCATCCCTGTGTTGCAAAGAAGGTCCAACTCTTCTCCAAATGAGTCCTAATACCATCCCCTTGGCTAGGTACCACTTATTAAACAGGAGAAAGCACCCATTCTGAAAGCAATGGCTACTCTTCCCACAGAGGAAGTTACAAAAATGAACAGCTCCCCAGCAATCTGGGGACTGGTGTCACACCCCAAGGTGCTCACCTTCCTGGCTGTCACAGTGTGGCTTCTCTTAGCCTGAAGAAGTGAGTCTGGCTTTCTGTGTGGGTGGGACCCCACCTCAAAGGTGTTGGGTGGGAGTCCTAAGAGCAGTGGGACCCAGCAGGGGTCTTAGCTAAAATCCCTGCTGAGTGATTATGAGTGATTATGATGTGAAGCTGACCATGGGCAGGCAGGGGTGCCAACTGCACTAAAGCATTCTCACAGGCCAATCTGGGCCTATGTATGGTTGACTGGGCAGGTAAGCATGCAGATGAGGAAGGGCCTAACTACAGGAACTTCTACCCAGACTGCTTGGCAGAAGCCCACCTGGTGTTCTTCCCCTTTCACCCCACCACCAGACCTCAGACAGGCCTGCCTTGTCCTGCCCCCTACAAGCCCTCCAGGAGTTGCTCTCTGAATGTGAGAACCTATGGTGAGCATGACACAGTGGAAGTTAACAGATAATGATGACAAGCAATGGAAACAGGTACCCACTCTTTACCTGTTCACAGGTGGTCTATGGTGGGGCCATCTAAGAGGCTAGATTCAGGATAGGACTGAGGTGTGGCCCACTCTAGGCCTGGGTACCACTTCCCTATACTACCCCACTCTGTGAAAGGGTTGTTCCAGTGTACGAAAACCTCACAAAACAGGAAATCTAACATCTGGACCCAGGGAAGGCTCCAGAAAAGCTGATGCTAAGACAGGTGATCTGCATGTAAGAAGCTATTCAGGTGAGAAAGGGGTCTGTCCATACTGAGCTTCAGTTTTTACTCTCCCCAGTAGAATGAAGCAGGCTGCCTGGTAAAAAGATTAAGGCCCTTTTTGGCAGTCATTTATTATATATAAGCTCAAAGGCTATTGTTTTAGTCAGCTTTGGGAATTTGATTAGACCAAGTCAGCTCAGTCAGCAGGGGTCCGCAAAGTGGGGCTATGAGTACCACATGGTGTCCCTCTCAGGAGGCCCCAGGTTACTCACTAAGCTTAGGGAGAAAATATTCTTCCACTCTACATTTAGGAAAATTTAAAACTAAGTCTTACAGTATTTTACTGTACTGATTAGAATCTACTGAATCAATTGTTCTATGACCATTAACTCACTTCATATTGAAAAGGAAACTGCTACCAGTGTATAACTTACTATAAACTAGGATTTTTATTGTATTCTTATCAAAAGGCCTTTTTTAGACTTGGTCAGGCATAGCAAAGATTTTTATCATGTGTGTTAGTCCTGTGCCTATGTGAAAAAGAAGATATAAGTAAAATCAAGTTTGCACATGCTCTGCATGGCAACTGTCTCACCACCACTGAATGGGGAACATACTCAAGTATTTTTACTGAAGTGGAGTGGGAAATCAAAATGGAAAAAAGTTCAAGACCACCTTGAATGAAGGTAATGTCATATTTTAATATGAGGTCCGGAACGAGTATTCCTAAAACTCTCCAATTTACAGATACCTCTGGGAGCCAGATGACTACCTCTCCTGCCAGGTCACCCAGAGAACCTTACCCATTGGAATGGCACCTATCATGGGAGAATGTCCCTGGAGAGCAGGACAAAGGGTCTCTCTTTCCCATACAGCATGTTGGAGCTGGCTGGGGCCATGATCCTGAAAAGCCATCTTTCCCATAGGCCTACAGGCTGGTTCTGGCCCTATGATTTTTGTTTCATTTTTTTGGGTTGGTTGGTGTCAGAAATATATACATATATTTTTTAAAGATTTCATTTATTTATTTGACAGAAATACATTTTTTAAAACTGAGTTGGAAGCATGAGGTTAGGTTTGAACTGACCCTAACTTGACATTCACATTCCCTGTTTACCCCTGAAGGCACTTGAGTTTGCTACTTCACTGTGTCAGTACTTAGACTCTAAATTTGAGAACACTAAACTGGTTCTTTAGGCTAATGAAATACTTAATTCTTTGGGGCTATATGTGGGAAGAACCACCTTCTTGGTATAATGAGTTTGGGGCCTATTTTGACACTAAACTTCCTGCTACTTGGACGCTTGTGTTTTTTTGTTTTGTTTTGTTTAACCAATTATTGTTAAACTTAATGCTCCTCAATTAGTGGATATTGTTCACAAACCAGAAAACACATTTCAGTAAACTTGCATATAAATGCTAGATTATGAAATAATTTTTTAAACCTCAGTATGTTGACTAGAACACTGCTGATGAGGATGATAATAAAATAATAATTTATTTTGTGCATCATATATAACAGGTAAAGTCCTTCTCATCTTAATAAATCAATGGAGTAAATATTTAGCTCTAATTTTGCATTTGCAGAGACTGAAACACAAACAAGTTATTCAACCCTTCATAAGGATCGTAAATATTATAACAAGTATCTGGGGGGATTTGAAAAGGATTTTGGAGGGATTTTCCCATGCTTTTTCTATTATGCTACACCGTCTTTTTTTTTTTTTTTTTTTAAGATTTTATTTATTTATTTGACAGAGAGATCACAAGCAGGCAGAGAGGCAGGCAGAGAGAGAGGAGGAAGCAGGCTCCCCGCTGAGCAGAGAGCCCGACGCGGGGCTCGATCCCAGGACCCTGAGATCATGACCTGAGCCGAAGGCAGCAGCCTAACCCACTGAGCCACCCAGGCGCCCCGCTACACCGTCTTTTTTAATGCAAAATTACCAAATGTAAATGAAGAAAATAGTAGAGATAATGACAGTTGCCTGCCTCAAGCATACTGTTTTTAGAATACTAGAAATGGTTTCTTTTGATTGCAATGTAATAATAGATAATGGCTTATATGGTGTTTCTTCTTTGAATATGTATTTGGAACTAACTGCCAAAGGCCATCCATTCAATATTTACTGAGAATATTATTCACAAAACACTATTTTAGATCATGGAAGAGAAAAATGACAAAAGAGCTCACACCAACAAAGGAGATGATTTGGCATAAATTTTATCCTTCAAGATCTATGTGAGAGTAGAGGGTAGGTTATCCTTCTTTTACAAGAGAAAACAGAAAAACTAGTGTTCTTCTGAATTAGAATGGAAAAATATACCCTTGAAAATTCAATTCAGCATTGAATTGAACATGAACATTCTATTCAGCATTAAGAAAGCCTGTCATTCTTATACCTGCAGAGCATCAGAGCAAGAAGGGCCCTTGGAGGTTGTTTGGTCTTCAGGTCCCTGGAAGTGCCAGAGGGTCATGATTTTGTAGTGTTTTGTTATCTACTGGTGACTTGCCCATCGACGTGTATCCTTGATTCACATCTTTTTCATTATGTTATGGACATAAATTTCCATTCTATCTCCCATATGTTTTTAAAAATCCTTACAACGTCCCATTAAAGGATTTAAAACAGGGGCGCCTGGGTGGCTCAGTGCGTTAAAGCCTCTGCCTTCGGCTCAGGTCATGATCCCAGGGTCCTGGGATCAAGCCCTGCATCCGGCTCTCTGCTCAGCAGGAAGTCTGCTTCTCCCCTCTCTCTCTCTGCCTGCCTCTGCCTACTTGTGATCTCTCTCTCTCTCTCTCTGTCAAATAAATAAATAAAATCTTTTAAAAAAAAAAGGATTTAAAACAGTTACTTACTGTTTAATTTAGAATATGGCCATATTTTCAATATTCTAAATAACACTATCAAAAATATCTTTAGTTTGTATTGATAATTATTCTTATAGAAAGAGTACAGAAATGGCACATCCTGAACCCTTATGCACTGTTGGTGGGAATTTAAGTTGGTACAGCCTCTATGGAAACAGGTATGGGGATTCTTCAAAAAATTAACAATAGATCTCCATATGATCCACCAATTCCACCTCTGGGCATTTATCCAAAGGAAACAAACATACTAACTCAAAAATGTATATGTACCTCCATGTTCACCACATACTATTTACAATAGCCAAAATATGGAAGCAACATAAGCAAACATTGATGGATGAATGACAAAGAGCATATATGATATAAATATGTATAAATGTGATATAAATTAAATGAATAGGATATAAATGTCAATAAAAGAAAATATATGATAGGTAACAGGAACACATATAATAGGATATCTTCAGCCATAAGAAAGAAGGAAATCTTGCCATCTGTGACAACATGGATGGACCTTAAGGGTGTTATGCCAAATTAAATAAATTGAACAGAGAAAGAGAAATACCATAAGCTCTCACATGTGAAATCGTAAAAGAAATAAAAACAACAGAACTCAAAGAAACAAGAAGTTTGGTGACTGTCAAAGGTGGGGGTTGGTAGATGAGCAAAGTGGGAGAAGATCAAAGATCAAAGGTACAAATTTCCTGTTTTAAAATAAATAACTCATGGAGATGTAATATATAGCATGGTGATTATAATAAATCTATATTTAAAAGTTGTTAAGTGGGGGGCACCTGTGTGGCTCAGGGGGTTAAGCCTCTGCCTTCAGCTCAAGTCATGATCTCAGGGTCCTGGGATTGAGCCCCGCATTGGGGTCTCTGCTCAGCCAGGAGCCTGCTTCCCCCTCTCTCTCTGCCTGCCTCTCTGCCTGCTTGTGATCTCTTTCTCTCTCTGTCAAATAAATAAATAAAATCTAAAAAAAAAAAGTTGTTAAGCGGGTAGATCTTAAAAGTTCTCATCACAAGAAAGAAAACCATAACTATATGAGGTGATGGATGTTAAGTAGACTTAGTATGCTGATCATTTCACAACATACAAAAATATCAAATCATTGTGTTGCACACCTGAAAGTAATACAATGTTATATGCAAATTATATCACAACTAAAAAAAGTATTTGACAAAATTCAGGGATGTCCTCACAATGTCCATAAATGGTAACAATTTTATTCATAGATTAATATGAATCTATGAATATGAATTAATATTCTCACTATTCATAAAATAACATTAATTATATCAAATATGCTATGGTATGTTTATTTGTAGTATTTTTCAATAATTAAATGTTATAAAGTATTTCTAAATTAGCAATTAGCTTTTTGTGATTAATCTCTTAAGAGAAAAATATCAAACCTTGTTTATTAGCTGTTGGAGTCAACTCCTATAAGCCTCGGTTTCCTTAAATATAAAAAGTATAATAATACCTATTTCATGGACTTAAGAGACTCAAATAGGATGAAGTGAATAAAGTGCCTGAAATAACTGACAGCCATCATCATTCTCATCATCATCCTTCATGTCATCATCATCTCTGTCAGCAAGCCACCAGTCATCTGCCCTGAGGAAGGATCAGTGGGTCAAACAGTACAAAAGTGTTCCTATCCTTTGACACCTGACAAATTACTGTGAAATATTATTATTTTGTTTAACTATGATGAGCAGAAGTCACATGTAGAAGCCATTGTCACTGTCCTTGGCAGACAGCATTTGCACCCTTGGATGTTTCCAAGAATAGAAAACAGTAAGCAGATAATCTGAAATCTAGTCCCTGCCCTGTTGCTTCTGAACCCAAAGTGGCCTTGCATAGGAGACTGAAAATGACCACAACTAGCCCCTTCCCACATTATTGCTGGGAGCACCAATGGCATGTAGGAAATAACTTCACCTGTAGGACTACACACGTCCCACTTGCAATTCCAATACCTGTTCCTTAATTTGTGTCCTCCATTCTCTGGGGGCACAAAAGGAGCAGCCAGTGGATCAGGGGCATAAGCCCAGCAAATGAAAGAGAGGAAGGGCTTTGGAAACCTAGTGGGCATGAGAGAAGGAGGACAAGCTGCAACACTTTGAAATACTGTACTATACTTTCTCTCTTCCTACTGGCACTGCCCACAACTATGCACAGCTGGATGAGAAGGAATGGGGCAGAAAGGGGGGTTGATGGGTTGTACATTCATTAAACATCTCTTTTTTTTTTTTTTTCATTAAACATCTCTTGACAGCTCATCTTACCCAAGGTTGCAGAAGAGGAAAGGAGGAGCAGGAAGGTGGCTTGGAAGCTGAGCATTCATTAAGTGTGCTCCTCCACTACTGGCCCCACCAGGAAGGCAGGGGCAGGAGGTTGGTTTGGAGGGCTCCACCCCCAGTGGTGGTGCCCCTGCACTGCAGTCCTGACCATGGACAAAGGGGTGGGAAGTGGTGCTGAACATCTGTGATTTGGCCAGAGCTGAAGAAGGTGGACAGAGGAACAGAAAAGGGGCTTTAGAAGCTTTGACTGCTCACTGCACAACCAAGGCCCCCATGGCTGATGAAGAGGTTGAAGGGCTGTGCCTTCATTCACTGGAGTCCATGTGGAGCATGCTGAAGAGGGGAGAGGATACAGCATGTGGCATTGAAATGCTGTGCCTTCTTTACCTGTGCCCCTTGGCCCTGCCCAAGATCAATAGCAGAGTGTTACATTTGTTTTCTGATGCAGAAAATTCACACTCTTCACTGAGTTTTACAGTGAGTGAAATATTTGTGTTGAGTTTGCTCACTGCTCAGAATTCTCACAAATGAGTGTTCACCCCATGTGTTCTCCACACCCTCCTGGCTCTTAATATGCGTGGCAGGCCTGAGTTTTGCTTACAAGGTACCTTCCTTCTCTGGGACTGTGTGGTTGGCTGTAAAGGGCAGAACCAGACCATCCATGCCTATTCCTGTCCTGCTCCAGTACCCTCCTCTCTTCACAGTTGAGGAAATGGTGTTGGTGTGGTGTAGGAAAATAGCTAGAGATTTAGTCAGTAACCTCCCTGCCAGGGTTGGCTCTGTTTAGCAACTTGTGTGCTCCCCAGAGTCTGCTCACTGAGAGGACACTTAAGGACACTGTTTGGAAAACACATTTAAACCCAGTACCTGGGCACAGTAAACTTAGGAATCATTTTAAATAATAGTGATAATATGCTACGTGATTCACAATGAATGTGACTTTCCTAAGTGATCAATCAACCGTGTTCTCATTTCTGTGTCACCTGGAACAGCTAGATCTCTATGGATTGGGGGTTACAAAGGAAAAATCCCTGCCAGTGTGGACTGTGTGCACAGGACATAGGTCCACTTACCACAGCTGTCTGGCGTCTGCTGAGGGAGACAGTGTAGGACTGAGAAGACACACCTGCAAAGGCGGCAGCTGTGGAAGGTCCAGGCTCCATGCATGAGTGCGCCGCATTCACTGAGGAGACAGAAAGGCAGTGTCAGCCCTTCTGGTTTGTGTGCACTACCCATGCCCAACCCCCACCCTGCCTGTCCTCTCCACCCTTGGTGTCCACTCCCAGACATGCCGAGCCCCACAGGGCCCCTGCACCCACTCCCATCCACACCCCACTCCCCTCCCCCACGCGCTACCCTGAAGGCCCCCCTACCCACACCCACTCCCCTCTGCAAGGTCAAGCCCCTCTTCTCCCCTCATTCCCTCCCATGTCCTTGCCCCACTTGCAGGCAGGCTCCTGCACAGGCCCACCTATGCCTCTGATCATGCTCACAATAACGGCCAGTGAAGTGGGCAGGACATATGCAGAAGCTGCCCAGCACGCAGGTGCCACCATTCCTGCAGCAGCTGAGCCTTGGGGGTACACCTGTGGGCGGGAGGCCTGGGTGTTCAAGTCTGCCTGCTTCCTGTGCCTTTGCCTTAGACTACCCCTGAGAGGGCCTCATGAGATTGCCTGGAGAGGCAATAAAATTTTACTCCCTGCCAAGTGTGTTTGCTCAGGTAGACCCTACTTGTTAATTTAAGGATTAAAAACAAACTGCCAGGGGTACTGGAGGGTCAGGAAGCAGCTCAAGGACCCAATGAAAAACCCTGGCCCCTGCAAATAGGATTTTCTCTCTCCTTTCCTTTCAGATGTTAAAGTCAGGGGGTGACTTCCCAGGACAGTGATTAAAAACAGGCCTTCAAGGCGGGGACCACCCACAGTGGGATGACTACAAAAAACCCTCCCAAGCTCTGGTCCCCACCAGGGGGACAAGGCCCCTCCCCCACCCTGCCTCTGAGAGACATGGGGTCTGGAGCCTGAGAGTCTGCAATAAGCCAAGCAAGGGCCTGCTTTTAACCTGGGTTGGAATCTTTGTTTTGAATATATTTAAATCACACTCCTCGAGACCTGAGCAAATGCAATATTGTACCAGTGAGAGAGTAAAACTTGTTTTCACAGCAAAAGAACACCTCACTAGGACATATTTTTCACTTTATAGTATATCTTCATGTGAAGATGATAAATTGTGGTTTGTTGGGTTTTTCATTTTATCCTTAATCTATTCCAGGTTGTTCTCAGATCCTAAACTGGGAGGACAGTAATGGAGATGACCAGAAAAGTTTTTGGGGGGCAATGCCACTTACTACCTGAGAAAGCCCTGAAGTAGGTACTTGAATCCTCCGGCTGCCACCCATCCATGCTTCCGTTCCCCTCCCCCAAATTATTCAGGATCCAGTTGAGCGTTTCCTGCTGGAGCTTCTGGGCTGTAGCATTGTTGATTTCTTCTCTGTTAGCTATATGTTTCTTTTTTTGATAATCTTTTAAAAACATTGAAAATGTGAGACTGATGATGATTAAGAAATAAATATACAATAAAAAGAGACTATAAATAAAATGCTTCTTACTGTTGTCTCCCAAGTGGATGATGTGTAATGCCAAACTGACAAAAAACAGAAGCCTAGAATATTTAAATAAAATTATTGGTTTAAATATTAAAAGTAAAAGTAGAAATGTCCATATGCTTACAATGTTAAGCAATCATAGATAAACATAAATATATACAAGTTTAACATTTAATAAATATTATGCCATCATTCTGTAACTTGTAAATGTAACTTAATTAATGTCGTCGTGACTTAGAAAGATTTTGAGACCAAAAAAGTGTGCATGTCCCTTAATGAGAAAGAACATTTGTGCATATGCTGCAGTTTATTCTGAACACTTTTACATGCCCCTCTCAGCCCTGAGATCTGAATGATGTGTGTCCTTACCTAACAGGGTGTCTCCAGGTCATTTCCCACTGGCACGTCGTCTGGTGTGAAAGTCTCCTTCTCTCATCAGTACTTTGAAGATCAATTTCCAAAGGAGTGCAGATCAGTTTCCAAGGAAGTAAAGTCTTAAGGCGTTTTGTATTTAAATATATCTTTACTCCAGGTCCTGGAATAACTGCATTAGGACATAAGATGAATAAGAAAAGAAGATACAGATCTTTCCTTTCCTTCTGTAGGCTGTGAGAAACAGCAGTGAGATCTCCGGGTTCTGCTGTGGAAGTCCATTAGGCAGTGAGCTGCTGTAACAGTCAGGGCCCATGCTGAGACTCCAGGACTGTCCCCTCACTGAGATCAGGTGGGGGTGGTGTGGAGGTTGGAGACTTGGGCTGATTCTCTCCTCAGTAGTGTTAACAGTGCTGACAGCAGCAGGGTAGTCAACCCCTGCTGTAAACATTGGTGGCTAAGGCAATAAGCCTTTCCCTCGCTGGGGAAAAAAAAAAAATTAAAATCTCAACATGAGAACAAGTTTTCACAGGAAAATGCAAATTTTATATTGCCTACCCTTGTATGGTTGTGAGGGCCCAACAAGAGAAGGGAGCCATTGTGTGGGACCTAGGCAGCAGGCATGTGTACCTAAAGTACTGACTGGGGAGCAGGAATATAAAAGAAGGCATTTTGTCCCCTGCTTTCTGAGGATGTATGGATCCTTCCACAGAGAGAACTTTTTCTCTGTGCCCAGCACAATGGTGGCTATATCATATACATTACCCATTTAATACAGCATGCCTCTGAGGCAGTGTTTTTATTATCCCCCATGTAAAAGGACAGGCAACAGAGGCTTAGTTTAAGTCCCTGTGGCAGGTGGATCTTCAAACAATATGTAATGTACCGATTTTATGAGAAGAAGCCTACCGTGTGCTCAGGGTATGAAGACCACGGAGTGTACAGGTGACTGCCCCAGTCATTGTCTGATGTTAAGCTCTGGATCCAAGAAGGGAGTGATTGCCAAAATAAGGACTGGGGCCCTTTTATCATCACTGAAGAGGGTACTTTGCAACTCTGGGACAAATCCTTCTGTAATTTTAATATAAAAATAGCTTTTTAGAAATAACATGCTTCTTCTAAGGATGAAATAGTTTTTGATACTGATTTAATTTTAAAACCTTTAAATGTGAGGTTTATTAAAGAAGCTATTAAATAAAGCAATAAAGCAAAGGGAATTGGTGAGCCTGCCTGCTGTGGGTCTCCCAAGGACTAGTTCTGTGGGCTGCCAGGACTATGTCAGGACCAGCAGACCTGGCTGGGCAAACTATGGGGGGAGAAGGCCCCTCACACCTGCAGGGAAACATCTGTAACTACAGTCATAACAAATATACTTTTAGACTTGATGGTTATTACTTGTTAACCACATAGTTTAGTTATCTATAAAAGTATATGACCCTAAATCAATAGAATCTTCTTTGAGCAAAATGGGTTGTACACTAAAATAAAACCATGCTGGGGTACCTGGGTGACTCAGTGGGTTAAGCTTCTGCCTTCGGCTCAGGTCATGATCTTAGGGTCCTGGGATTGAGCCCCACATCGGGCTCTCTGCTAGGTGGGGAGCCTGCTTCCCCTGCCCCCTCTGCCTGCCTCTCTGTCTACTTGTGATCTCTATCAAATAAATAAATAAAATCTTTTAAAAAAATAAAATAAAGTAAAACCATGCATAATCTAAAGGACTATATTTTTTTTGAATAAGAACTTTTAAAACTTCAGTTTATGTGATGTTATCAAATGAACCTAAAACTTTCTGATGACATTAATGTTCTAAGAGTAGTATCCAAAATCGAATTTCTCCCCATCGTGTCTTGTATTATATTTTGTATTATGGATACTTTTGAATGTATACAAGATCCAGGATAATGATTCACTGGACTGGTGTTCATAGATTAGGTATCAACCTTTGCCAATCTTAGTTATTCTGCACCCAGCTCCATTTTTCTTTTGGAGTCTTTGAAAGCAAATCTCAGAAATCATGATAGTTTCTATGTCAAATAAGGTTCTGAAAATATGCATTTTAAAGGAATCTGTAGGAAAAACAAAGGAAATGTCTTGCCGGCAAGACAGGATTGAGAGTCCAGGCAGAGGGATGGAATGTCCCATCTCTGGCTGTTTGCTTAAGACAGCTCCAGGGAGGGAAAGGGCTGATGGCCTAGCTGGGAGAAAGCTGTTATTTTTCAGCTTTCTGTCCCTTGCTCTCATTTAACCACAGGTATTGTAAAAAGGAGTTTTGCATTTCATGGCAGAGGAGCCTAGGTTTACTTGGAAACAAGGTCCAGCTGGAAGGGGCTGCCTGAGAATGGCTGGAAGCCTGGTGAGGGGCAGCAGATCCCTGGCTCTGGGGAAGGTTCTTTCTTGTTATCAGTTGTAAACAGATAAGATTGGAGCCAACCCATCCACCAGACCTCCAGTAGAACTTCGGACTCCCTTTGAGCTAACACAAAGTGTGTGGGAATCGGAATACCCTGTCCCAGGATTGAAGCCCACCCCACCCTCTGTGTCTAGGTGGAACCTTGCAGCCCACTGAGAACAAATCTCTTGCTGCATGGCACCACTTCTGAAGGAATGTCTGTGACCAGTAAAGTCAACAATACAAGCTCAGAGCTACATTAAAATCATCACTGAAGAAAGCAGGCTAGACATTGTCAAGATGGGTCATCTATTAAGAAAGGAAATTTGGGATACCATCTTTGGGGTGATCCGTGGTCATGTTTTGAGGGCAGCTGACCCACAGCCTGTGTGTCCTGGACCACCTCTCATGGAAGCCTGAGCTGGCCATGTAGCTTTTTCCCTTTGTCTCATAACCATGTCCACCAACAAGAATGCTAATTCACCAGCTGCCTGCCTTAAGAACAAGGGGAAAGCCAGTACAGAAATGAGGCAACATCGAATAGAACTTAATGTGGAGCTGAGGAAAGCTAAGAAGAATGACCAGATGCTGAAAAGGAGAAATGTAAGCTCATTTCCCCATGATGTTACCTCTCCACTGCAGGAAAACCACAACAACCAGCACACTATAAATTGGTGTGTTGATGACATTGTCAAAGGCATAGATAGCAACAATTTGGAAAGCCAGTTCCAGGCTACTCAAGCTGCTAGGAAACTGCTTTCTAGGGAAAAGCAGCCCCCCATAGACAATATAATCCAAGTGGGTTTGAATCCAAAATTTGTGTCCTTCTTGGGCAGAACTGATTGTAGTCCCATTCTGTTTGAATCTGCTTAGGCTCTCACTAACATTGCTTCCGGTACATCAGAACAGACCAAGGCTGTGGTAGATGGAGGTGCTATCCCAGCATTCATTTCTTGGCATCTTCCCATGCCCACATCAATGAACAAGCTGTATGGGCTCTAGGAAATATTGCAGGTGATGGTTCAGTTTTTCAAGACTTGGTTATCAAATATGGTGCAGTTGATCCGCTTTTGGCTCTCCTTGCAGTTCCTGATGTCATCGTTAGCATGTGATTAATTATGTAACCTTACTTGGACACTTACTTGGACAAACCTTTGCTGCAACAAGAATCCTGTACCCCCCGTTAGATGCTGTTGAGCGGATTTTTCCTACCTTCGTTTGTCTCCTGCATCACGATGATCAAGAAGTCTTGGCAGATACCTGCTGGGCCATTTCCTACCTTACTGATGGTCCAAAAGAACAGATTGAAATGGTTGTGAAACAGGAGTTGTGCCCCAGCTTGTGAAGCTTCTAGGAGTTACTGAATTGCCCATTGTGACTCCTGTGCTAAGAACCATAGGAAATATTGTCACTGGACAGATGAACAGACTTAGGTTCTAATGGATGCAGGAGCACTTGCTGTTTTTCTCAGCCTGCTAATGAACCCCAAAACTAATATTCAGAAGGAAGCCACGTGGACAATGTCAAACATCACACCTGGCCGCCAGGACCAGATACAGCAAATTGTGAATCATGGATTAGTCCCATTAGTCATTGGTGTTCTCTCTAAGGCAGACTTTAAGACACAAAAGGAAGCTGTTTGGGCTATGACCAACTATACAAGTGGTGGAACAGTTGAACAGATTGTATACCTCATTCATTGTGGCATAATAGAACCATTGATGAACGTTTTAACTGAAAAGGATACCAAAATTATTCTGGATGCCATTTCAAATATCTTTCAGGCTGCTGAGAAACTAGGTGAAATGGAAAAACTTAGTATAATGATTGAAGAATGTGGAGATTTGGACAAAATTGAGGCTCTACAAAACCATGAAAATGAGTCTGTGTACAAAGCTTCATTAAACTTGATTGAGAAGTATTTCTCTGTAGAGGAAGAGGAAGATCAGAATGTTGTGCCAGAAACTACCTCTGAAGGGTATATGTTCCAGGTTCACGATAGAACTCCTGGGACCTTTAATTTTAAGATTGTACAGCTGAGGCAGAAAGTTGTTTGTTGTGTACTCCATCTGGTAGAAATTTGTCTTATTGTTTCTCTACTAAGAACTCTTTTTAAATGTGTTTTGTTATTATAGCACTTTTTACAACAAAGCTCTACTTGACCAGTTCCAAACTGTATGAACTATACGAAGCTCCTCCTCTCAGTGGGTTTCTTATTTCTATGTGGAATCTCCTATCTTGCAGTGTCCTGTAAATTATGATTAAATTCCACCCTTTTCTTTTAAGAGAAAGAAAGAAAGATAGATTTGGTTAAATATACTGAAAAATATCCTAGCCAAAAAAAAGACGGCAGATACACAGACATACTGAGCTGATGAATGGCTGAAGCGAGAACTGCCGGCATCACTTGTTGGTTTTAAATTATAGAGTGATTGGGCAGACACACACCATAGTCACTATTTTGAGTATAACCTGCCTCAGAGATTGAAGTAAATTCTCTTTCTTGCACCAACAGAGCTGAACTTGATTGGGCATTTGGAAGCAGTCACCAAAAGGAAGTAGAAGACCCATAGCAATGATCCATGAGCAAAATTTCTCTGCTACTCCTAGATACCCATTCTCCTGCTGACT